ATGAACGCTTCCAATTAATAATAAATCAGAATACCATAATTTACAAATTACGTTAATTATTTTATTTATTTATTTATTTCAAATGGCAGGCGTTTTGATAGATATCATTAGCCATTTAGCTGACTTCGGGCTTCACAGAGGGAAGGTTCATCAAAGTAGCAGAAAGTCGAGGGGTGGGGAAAAGAAGAGCGATTCACAGATGTAAAAGAGGCAGACAGACACAAAGGTAGAGAAAAAGTTAAGGTAAGCACTGTGGAAGGGGTCGAATATGACAAGCAGTTGGACCATGGTATTTTGAAGTGAGAAGTCAACTGCCGGTTAATAGACTTTTTTGCCGTATGAGTATACGTTGGCCAGGGTGCACCGCGTGCAGGTAAGTCTATGGCACACCCAATTACGTTAATTATGAATTAAAAGGTTATTGTAACAAACACTAGAGTAGAACACGCCGTTTTATCTGTTTCTTAATGCCTGCAATCGAAACCATAGCCATTTCTGTTTTAGTCATTCAGAGCCTCGATTGTATCTTAAGGTTATGCAGGTTTAAGGAAAAAATTTCACAATCTGACTAATTCCACCTTGAAATATTAACCGTAATCTTACTTATAAATGTTGAGTACGCAAGCACAATGCAATATAGGAAAACACAAATTGATTATCTAACATTTGTTAAATTTCAAAATGGTAATCATGGAAGGGCGACCATGAGCACAATGAAAGGGTTGAAAACATTGAAATAATTGGCTTAATAGTTCATATTGTTCTCTTCGACTTAGGCGGTCGCCGAATTGAATGGCAGATTTACAGGCCTTTGTTTGTAGGATCGAAGTAACAGCCGCACTACAGGAATTGACAACATCATATTAAATGTATAAAAGAAAACGCAAAGACTGCTGACTACAAAGAGCATATTACTTTAAATAAGTGATTCCTTCAGCCCGATTATTCGTACACCGAAGCAAATATTGGATTCGACCATATATAAACGATGTAAGCAATGCCTTAAAATTGTCCGTTAATGTCCAATTAGGAGAAATGATAATCGGGAATGAGATAATTTGGATTACACCATCAGAATGATTGGAGGATGAAAATTGCAGACCAAAATTAATCAGATCATTCGATAGCTTTTGCCGAAGTCGAGAGGAACTGAGCAAATCTAGCGTTATTTCAAGCTCTTGTTTAATAGAAAAGCAAAAGCGAGGCTTTCTAGCGTCAAAAATGCCTTCATTTTTCCACTTTTCAAGAAAATTTTCCAATAGTATACGTTCATGTGCTGCGTGCTGATCGATCCCTAGAATTCTGCTTTTTAGATATTAGAACACGATTACCTATTATCTGAATTATCTTTGACTATTATCAAACGATTATCTATATAGCCAATAATTTCAAAAAATTCTTTCATGGGCGATATCTCATATATAAACTGAAAATTTTCCTTAAATAGGGGTCATTTAAATTTTTGACAATAAAAGCTTTAAACAGAAAATATATTTACAAACCAAAGGTAAAATTTATATTTAATTAATTAATTATACTTAATTTATATCTTCTCTATCTGTTAAATGGGTTATTAAGATAGGAGGGGGGGGGGGAACCCTTTATTAGATTTGCACAAATTATTAGGTAAGATGAGGATTGTAATTTATTTAATCATTAATATGTGTTTTCAGAAAATTTAAATGTCCCCCCTAAGCAGACGTATCAATGCATATTATTTAATAATTACATTCACGTTAGTTACACTCACCTCAAGCTTAGTCAATAAACAATATAAAAACTTTTACATTTAACCTGTCACATTTGTTAAGGTAGTATGGTAACTGTAATAGATACGGGTTATTATTTTATTTAAATTCAGGATTGAACTAAATCATTCCTACATAATACTTAAATGCGACTATATCTTCAAAGTCGAATACGAAATATATTTTCATCAGCGTTAGATTAACTTTCAAAGCAATTCCAAACAGATTATTGTCTCAATTTTTATCGCCAATAAACGAATAATATTTTCATTCTAAGTGTCTTACCATTTCTGAACCACTAAATTTTCATGAAGACATGGTACTTGAGATATGCTGGTTAGTAGCACGTAAAAAATCAACTCGATAAATGCCTTAATGCTAGATTTGCGCTTTAATAAATAGTATGACATTTTCCTACAACTTATATTTGAAAAATAATTAATACATTCAAAGAGAATTTTTGCATTACATAGCAATCTATTTTGTTGCATCAAATTAATTGAATGAATACCATAGCGTTTCGAGAATATTTAAAACAATTGAAACCAATTTGAGACTTTTGGAAATAAATTTTTAATAACATTTTTTATCTTTGAATGTAATATCATTGCCCTTGGCTACTAACTAATTTGAACATTATTTTGACCTTAGTTTGTTTTATTAAATGAATATGAAATACTGGTATACTTAAAGCGTTTGGGACGAATCCAAACGACCACACTTACAAATGGCAAGAGAAAGGTAAACTGCATTTTTTATATTTTCTATTTTTTAGATCTCACAGTATTTCAAACAGAAAGAAATTGCTTTCGTATATACATTCAAATTTACTGAGCTCCTCAGCTGTCGTGAGAGGACCTTTTGGAGATCGAAGAGTTGTTTATTGCGATTATACAGCCTCGGGATTAAGTCTTAAATTTTTTGAAGAGTTTATTTCGAATGAAGTTCTTCCTCAATATGCTAACGTTCATTCATTTCTTGCCGGAATGTCTTGCCAGACCACTTCATATAGAAATGATGCAAAGTAAATATTCTGAATTAAAATAAACTTGTTTGTAGAAACATAATTAAAGAGGCAGTTAACGCATCAGATGATGATGCATTAATATTTTGTGGAAGTGGAACCACGGGTGCAATTCATAAACTTATTCATAACATCAACTTAAATGAACCTCCCGTAAGTCAGCCTCTCGGTTCTATCGTTTTTAGATTGTTTTCGTTGGACCTTTTGAACACCATTCAAATTTATTACCTTGGAGACATCTTGCACAGAAAGTTATTCGACTCAAAACTAACTCGGATGGGGGCCTTTCTTTGTCATACTTGGAGGATGCATTGAAAGTAATTTTTGTTTCAAAATACATTATACGTTTTCTTTTTAGGCGGAAAGTAAAATAGCAAAGAAACTTGGGTGTCAAATACTGGTTTGTCTTTCTGCTGCCTCTAATGTTACTGGTATATTGGTTGATACTAACGCTGCTTCTTCTCTTGTTCATCGTTATGGTGGGATTATATTTTGGGATTATGCAGCCGCTGCACCTTATGTTGAGATGAATATGAATCCAATTTCAGAGTTTGTCTGAAGTTTTCTAAATATATTCAAATACATACGTTTGATTTTATAGAGGCAGAGACTCTTATAAAGATGCCATCTTCTTTTCCGTTCACAAATTTGTTGGAGGTCCACAGACACCTGGTATTCTAGTGGCCAAGAAACGACTATTTAAGGCTGGTGAAACATTCCCTCATCAAAGTGGTGGTGGAACCGTGAATTTCGTCCGCAGGGAGTCTACTTCATATTTTAAGGTTAGTTAAATTTGCCATCTTCCACATTAATTTTTACGAAAATTAGTTTCATTGTATGTGGGGTAAAAAATTGTGACAATCTTCAAATCATTCTCATGAGAAATTGTGAATGGAAAAGGGCAGTAATTAGGATCATCCTTTCATTTGCGCTAACAGCAAATCATGACTAAAACCAATTAATTGACCTACAGCTATGAAAGTCAGATAAGCACCGCCAATAAATCTAAGTTTGTTAAGTGCATTTCTTCTGCCGAATTGTGAAATATATTGTTTTATAACCATATTCACCCGGAAGCCTTCTAATCGATAAATTTTGACCAATTACACATAGATTTTAAAGTTGATATTTATTTCCCAAAGTACCTATATCATCCTTTTCTTCCAAAATAAATTGTAATTTCAGTAATCCTGCATTTCTCTACCTTATTGACAGCTTTGGAACAACCATTGACTGTTCAAGGTGACTCAACTCGATGAAAAATTGATAAACAGGTGTGATGAGATCAGGTCACTATTGGCGAACCTTGGTTGAGAGATTAATCATTAATTCCTCAAAATTTCAGTACTAAGTAAAGCTAAGACAGTATAATATTGAAATATCAATAATTATATAATTAGTGATTATTGCTAATTTTTATGAGAAATTTTCACTTTAAGGAGGTAGAATTTCGGGAAGAAGGTGGTACCCCAGCCATTATCGAATCAATTCGAGCTGGAATGGTGATTCAACTCAAGGAAGCTATCGGTTCAAGACTGATTCAGAAGCGTGAAGAGGATTTAGTCCAGTAATTCATTCTCCCTTTTTACTAACCATTTATCGCACTTTCTCTAGATTAGCATGGAGCAGATTTGCTGAATGTCCTAATCTTGTTATTCTGGGAGGAAGTAAGGCTAAAAGAATTGCCATTTTCTCCTTCCTGGTTCGTCATACACGCAGTAGTTATGTCAAGGATCCTAAGTATAGAGAGGAAAATTGTCTATTTATTCATCACGATTTCATCTGCGCTCTCTTGAACGATTTATTTGGAATTCAATCTCGATCGGGCTGTGCTTGTGCTGGACCTTATGCGCTGGATCTTCTGGGTATCAATGAAGAACTGGCCATTAGCTATGAAAATACGCTCATTTCAAGGTACATTCACGGCTCTGCATGTTTCCATAAAACATAATCAAATTTATTTATTTTAGAGATAATGAGGAGATCTACGAGCATAGAGTCCTTCGGTATGCCAATATTCAAGCACTTCCACTAAATTATTGCTTTAATTAAAGTCAACTTAATATCATTTTAGCCCTGGCTTCACAAGAATTAATCTGCCATTCTTCTATCCTGATGAAGAGATTGATTTCATTATTGATGCCACCATTTTCGTTGCTAAGTACGCCTGGACATTCTTACCATTCTATGAATTGGATCAGAATTCAGGGCAGTGGCGTTATTGTAATGACAAGAGAACAGATATGAGTAAACATTTGTCATTCATCTCATATGATCAAGGGGTGATGAGATGGAGAAAACCTGCCTCCAAATCTGCTGGTCCTGTTCCCTCATCTTTTTCGGTAAGTTGAAAGGAAACAAGTTTATTCATTATTCAAATGAAACTTCGGAAAAAACATTAGTTAGTATTAAAGAGAAAATATTACTGAAATATATCAATCAAGTATATATATATATATATATATATATATATATTT